AAGGCTTAGAGAAACGATTTCCGGGGCCTGAGTCAGGGTTTAGGGTTCAGGGCTCAGGGTTTAAGCTTCCTGGGGCTGAAGATGGGTTCGGAGTTTCTGGTCAAGCTATGCCAAAATCTCGTAGAAGTTGGGGTGTTGCGGGTTCAGAGTTTATAGTTTAGCATCCTGGAGCTTGCGGATGCGCAAGAAGGGTTCCATTGAGCCCGTGGCCACAACAGCTTGGTAGCACCATCGCTCTAAGCGATAAACCTAGGAATCCCCGGGTGCCGTGCCAATACAGCTCCAGCGCAGCCCGGATGTGCAGGGAATGCACGGGGGGACATCCGAACTTCGAACATCGCCGGGTTCAACTTGCTACTAAATCCAAGGGCAGCAACGATGAGCCTAGGCATGTTTGACCTTTCAAATCCGGGAGTCATATTTTTTCCTGGGTTGCGCATATTCCAAACTCATCTTCTGCCCCGATACTTTGTGCAAGCGTGCTAATCCGAAATCGTATGTTCGAATTACCTGGCACCCTGCGTCACTTGCTCTCTTCAGCCTGCAGGTCCAAGTAGACCTGAGGTTGACATCAGGGTTTGTACACAAGAGTCACAAGAGGCTTTAGGGGTTTAGGGCTCGGAGTTGCAGCCTGCGTCAGACGGGAAAGGGTGGGATTGTGTTGGCTACATGCTCCCGGCTTATTATGGGTGTAGCTTTAAACCTTCACAGGATGTTTCAGATTTTCCGAGATTTGACACGTGGGCATGTATCTACTTATGCCGTATTGGTTGGTCATCGGGGATTCAGGAAACAGCAGCAGCAGGAGGAGGAGGAGTAGTAGTAGTAGGGTAGTGGTAGTGGTAGTGGTAGTCGTCGTCGTCGTCGTAGCAGCGGTGGTGGTGGTCGTGCTGGTGGTGGTGGGCAGTTTGGAGTTCGAAGTTCGACCGTTTCGAGATGTTTCGAGCCGTTTCTCGAGTTCACAGGTTCAAGTTGGGAGTTCGAAGGGTTGAATGTGAAGCCAGTGCGACAGTTTGACACCTCCAACGCTCGAGTCGGACTTTGAAAGCTTTGTGGAGTCCGAGACTGAGAGATTGAAACTTTAAAGCCGAAACGATGAAGGCTGGAAAACTTGAAAACCCGGAGATTGAAACGCTGCAAGTCTGAACTATTGAACAGCGGGATTTTTGAAACGGTCAGAGATAGAAACTTCAAAGACCTTCATTATTCAAGCGGGGAAACCTGGGCAGTTGAATGCGTGAAAAAACGACGAAGCTTTGAACGGCTGCAGTCTTGTAATTATTGAAGACCTGGGTAATTGAAACGATGAAGGTTCCGCAGGTTGAATACCGGTAATTATTTTTGAGACGGTGAAACATTTAACCTCTGAGCACCTCCGACTCTTGAAGATATAGGCACTTGAAACGGTTAGAGATAGAAACTTTTACGACCCGGGTTATCGAAACGGTGAAAGTGTGAAAGATTGTGAACTGCAAATATGAAAACTCTTGAGGTTTCAATGGCTGAAAGTGTACAAGTTTGTAAGGATGGGAGCCTTGGATCACGAAGATGTTTGACAGTTTCGGAGTTTGAAGGCTTGAAAGCTTGAGTGTGAGTGTGTGCAACACCAGAGGTATGATTTAGGTTCAAGTGTGCCGTATTCCGGCTCGGGTATCGGTGCTCACTCTCGGACAGTCGTCTCCATACTGATACTACTCTCAAGTCAAGGCGCACATGCACGTAGCACCAACAATGTGATTGAGCATCGGCTTAGTGTCAGCCGAGTGCGGGTATGTATCTTGCATATATGCCTCACCAGATGTCGAGCCTTTCACAGTCGAAAGTTTCACATGATCGAATTTTCAACCTCTCGAACATGCTATCTCGCAACTCGACGGAAAACTCAACTTTTAAACTAACTCGACGTACGTGAAAAATCCAATCTTCAAATGTGCAAACTGCCGAACATTCACGCCATTCCAACTTTCAACCTGACCTGGAAACCTTCGCACTCGCAACATCTCAACACATGAAATTTGCCAAACTCTTGACCTCACCGGCCAACAGCGAACTGGGAGCGAACCATTGAATCTTCAAGCAAACCGTCGAACCTTCGAACATCGAAGCATTGAAAATATTTAATCCCACCATCCATCGATCTCCAAACTTGCCGAAAATTGAACCTTTGAGCTCGGATCGAACTCGGCTGCTGCTAAAGCTTGGAGATTGAATTCTCAGCAGTCACTCGAGCTCCAAAGCTTGGCACTTCGGCTGTTTCACTTGCACCTACTACAACGTTTCCCATTTTTTAGGGTTTAGGGTTTTTCCAATTTTTCGAACTCCGCCGCACTTCAAGCTCTTCTAACCTTCAAAGCTCGAGCTTCAAACGTGTTCGAACCTGCAGCAACGGTGGTTACCGAGTTCTTTCCCCTGTGCCCGTTGCCTTGCTGTGGCTGATCTTGAAGAAGGCCGCGGCGACGAAAGCACCCGTCATCTCCCAAATCCTGGGCTCAGACCAGAGATGGACGATTTAGGATTAAGGGCTTGCAGCGAAAGTATGTAGGAAACGAGCCAGAAGATCTTATGCCACCCTCCCACCCCACCGGCCCAACAATCAGCATCTTATGCAGTCCATGTGCATGGCCCTTGTACATGCCTAGCAAATCCCAGGTTTTGGCATTATCTCACCACTCTTCGACGGAACCGCTGGAAATCGAGCGGCCCGAGGCGGACGAAGTTGGAGAAGGAGTGGTCCACCTCGCACCAGTTAGGAATGAGGGCCTACCATTTCGTAGGGGAGTTCGAGGGCCACATCAATACACTTTGCTGGGTTCGAGTTGTGATGCCTGTATGTAGGGGTTGTAAGAATCCGTTGAACAATGAGCTTAGACAAAGTTCTTCGGTATGGCAGCATAGCGCCAGGATGTGCAGGATTCAGATGCTTTGTAGTCGAGTTTTGCATGTTGGACTCCCTAAACCCTAAACCCTAAACCCTGTCGGGGTTCGCTTGAAGGTTTCGCTCCCCGCCACAATGCCCGGACAAGCGAGTCGAAGGTTTAGGGGGGGTAGATGAAACTATAAGCAAGCAAGGGGCTACGAGCGGATCATACCACTACTTGGGCCAATGGTTGTAGAAACAAACGAGGTTAGCAGCGAAGGATTTCCGATCAAGGCGGCCAAAACAACCCCTTCTGCCACCCATGCCCCGTTCTTGCACTCATGATCCTCAGAAATAACATGGCAGCATTGTCAGATGGGGCCATGGAACGGATCTTCCCATGTTCATATGTGAGATAGCACAGGATCGTTGGTGTGTCGACTTCACAGCTGTGCAACCAACAACTTCTGCCGGACGTCCTCTCTGCCACTCTAAGCCCAATTCTTCAACGGGATGAGACTCTAAATCCTTTCGAGAACGCAAACGCCCACACCAGTAGTAAGAACAGCGACACGTTTCTCAAAGCCCGGGAAAGTAACACTTCGATTGGCATACAAGGACCACACAGCAGGATATGGGCAACTCAAGACCCTAAACCCTACAAGCCATAAGTCATAAGTCCGTGAAGCCCTAACCTACGGCCATACGATTATGGTGAAGAAAGATCTTTCCCAGCCGAGGTTCCGTGTCGGCTGGATGCTGCATTCCTTTGGCTTCAACTTGTGAAGTAAGCGATACATAACCCATAAATTAAGGATGTAAGGCTTAGGGCTGAATTATGACGTTGGCAGTATGTTCCATACAGTAAGAGATCAATGAGGGGATAAGCTTGTAGTATGCCTGGGTTCTGCGAGAAAGCCGGTCCCTAAACTGTCTCACAATGAACCCTTAAACTGTTGTTTTAAATAAAGTGCCGGCCGAACAGGAGTCAGGACGGGGGGGATTCTTCGCATTAGCGGGCCTTCTACGGAGTCTACTTGCAGCTTGCAGACATGAGTGCTTCTACTTATGAGTCTTATGATCTACATTGGGGGGGCACTCCGGAGTCTATTGATTGGGACATGCCGTAGATTTCGATACCCTGTGTTCTGGCCGTGAATATTGGTCAACTCCCAAAGGCACCATGCTCCAGTGGGAGGGATGGTCATCATCACCTACGTGAGCCTCTCGATGGAGACAGTGGGTTCAAACACGAACTACATGTTCGGACCTTGCCGGAGATGTGCACAGCCCTGCAGCGGCTTAGCGTGCAGCGTTTTAGGGTATATACCCTCTTTTCTTCGCTCAACTTCAAGGGCCCTGAAACCGTTTGCTCCAAGAATCCGCTGGCAGCTGTGATGCCAAGGGCCACTGCAGGATTCAGCTCACCTCTACGGTGCGATGTCTTCCAACAATCAGTTCAGGGCTTCAGGGATTGGAGCCATGGCTATAATGCAGTAAAACCAATAATTTGACGTCCTAACCATCGACGATAGCATTACTCGCTCCAACAGCATCATCGCATCATCACCTTCACGACAAAATACTGAAACTGACAGCTCGTGCCTCAGGGCTCTCTACATACACCATAGAATGCTAAGCCTCCGGCAGGGCTATAAGCTCTAGGAGTCCACGTCTTGATCAGGCTTTGCGGGGTTCCAGGTATGCAGAATGCTTTCCAAGATCTCCCATGTTCTGCACCGGCGGACCCATGAAAGAACACCAACTTCAAGCCCCGTCTTCGGCTCGGTCAACGAAAGTTCCTTGCCCCACGATGCACAGGGTAAAGTGGAGCTCCAGGCCTCGGGTTAGAATTTAAACTACTCCGCCGGGCTGCCTATGTTTATGAATGAACGGCTCCGTGCCCCGGAAAAAAGCAGCGGAGCACACCTAGCAGCTGGCAGCAGCTGCAAACAGGAAAGAGTAACAGAATACGTTACGAAGCCAAACACTCGCAAATGCTGCAAGAATACGAACTCTTAGCTTGCTGATTGCATAAAAGACTAACAGCAAAACAATGAGTGGCATGTACAACGACGGTATTCATATCGGTCCAAAGCCAAGTCCAACTAAGGGGACATGGCTGGAACGTAGCTGAAACTGCTCAGCGGCCGCACACCCCAGAAATGCGAAGTTCCCTTTGCTCTCGGCCTCCGGACACTGCACCGATGGCAAAGCCACCAACCGTAACACACGACCCGATGGCCAAGGCGAAGTAGAAGCCTGGGGCTCGAGGCTTCGCACCCTCTTTGCAGAGTTGTGTTAATTCAGGGACCTGCATGACTCTGCGACTGATTGGAAGGACAGCTGGTCAGCTGGCTTGGCCGAATCATTAGGAAAAATCGGCACTCTATCGGCTGCAGCTGCAGTAGCATGGTCCACGGCGCCGTAACTGGGAAAGAGGATCTGGCGTATTCTAGCTGAGTATGGGACCCTCTTCTGCACCCTCTCTCCAAGCAACGAACCTGCTCATAAGTCGGGTTGCTGTTTTTAGTCTTGGTATCGCCCCCGGCTGGGGGGACTGTGGCGCAGCTGAGCACGACGTAGGCCAAGAGCAAAGTGGCAGACAGCTCCACGAGGCCAGCCTGCTGGCAGACGACGGCAGCAAAGTCATCTAAAAAATCAGAAACACAATTAGCAACCAGGATGCACCATCAGAAGACACTCACACACGACCAGCACCAGCACCAGCACCA